GGCTAGTCTATTTCTTTTGATTTCTGTGATGACTGTTACAATTTTTGCTAATTATTCTGAATGGTTCACCCATGAGTTGCAGGTTATAGTCTAAAACACAGTATCATCATTATTATATATTATCAGTTATTACATATTTTCAATTATTACACATTAATAATATATTGTTATATATGAGATCCAGTCAGCAAGAAAAGTGATGGGACAGACACCATCCTTCTCTGGTACAATGGAGGATATGCCCCCAAACGACTGCATCTTAAGTCTGAAAGAGTTTGTGTTTCGTGTCCTTCTGTCCTGAAGTGGTTGCATGAAAAGGCATGGCTTAAAAAATTAACAGTACAGAATCTGTTTCCCCCTCATACTCCCTCTTCCCTATCTTTATTTTTTCTTCCCTCTTGTGACAGGATCAAAATCGTTGGAAACTAACTGGAAAGGTAAATGGTTTTCTAATAATATTAGCCAAAGACAACTGTTCTTTGTAGCAAACCCCTGAGACCACAGCAGTTACTTTATGACTGCTAAAGGCTGGTACTCGAGACTAATGCAAAATTTGGCAACAGATGCATTCAACTTCTTAACATTCCTAAAGATCTGGAACCTCTCTCTTGTATTTTCACAGATCAGCAGAATCAATCTCTCCCTCCTTATAATTTGGAATCCTAGACATAGCTAAGATCAAAACACAGAGACACAACGTCACCCCATTGAATATTAGAGATCTGGAGATACATTAGGCTTGAGACCTTGTTCTTTGAATTCATCTCATCTCATCACATTTGAGTCATGTCATTTCTGCAGTCCATTGAATCTGTGATTGTTCCCTTGCCTAAATTTTAATTTTTACCTTGGGTACATATCTTATAATGCAATTTCTCAGCCAGCCAATTTGAGTGTTCACTGCCCTTTAAAAGACAGACATCTACCCCATAAGATTACAAAAAGGTGATAATTGGGTACAAAAGATGTCTATCAGAGCATTTTTCATGTTTTGTTTAACAATAAAAATCTACTAAAAATAACCTAAATACCTTATGATCAGGGAAGTTACATAAGTCATAAAGCACCTAATCAATGGGAAATTATGCAGACTATGAAAACATCTGCAAAGAATGTTAATAGTGAAATAACACTGCATGAGAAAAGCAGGGAACAAAAACTGTGTATGATCCCATTTTATTGAAGAAAAGTATAAACATGTAGGGAGAGGACTAGAAGGTAACACTCCCTCACTTTTGTGGTGGTTACCACAGGATTATAGGATACAGGTGATATCCCTTATTTATGCTTCTATTCGTTTTCCAACTTTTCTAGTATGAAAATACATACTAGTTTTACATTTGGAAATACAACTTTTGTCAGAGGTCAAAAAAGATAAGTTGCTACATCAGGGTCCAGAAAGCTACCCGTAAGTTTTTTCTTTCTCCTAGACTGGCTATTAGGAAGTCACTTTCTCCTTTCATTTTGAGAAGGTATTGCCACATTATTAAGCAAACAGCCAGTAGGGGTCGTCCAAGAGCAGTAAACTGACCTCTCAGAGACAATGAGTGAAGCTCAGGAAATTGGAGCTGGAAACTCCTCCTGAGAGGCCTAATGCATCCTTCAAAAATCACCACTACATACATTACACTTTCTGGTACTGGTACTTTCTTTTCAATTTAATTGTAACTATTTCAAGTGATTGTAATTTCACTGTTACACCTTGGCGCAGTCAACGAGCTATTGATGAGCAGACTTTAAATCCAGCAAACTTCAGAGATGTTCATCTAACTCTCTTGCCTGGACTGCTAGCTGAACAAGTACCTTAGACGAGGTTCAAATCCTGAAACCTCCCCTTAGCTGTAAAACCTTACACAAGACCCTTTTCCTATTTGAACCAAAGTTTCCTTATTTATAAAACAAGGAAACCTCTCCACCTACCTCACAAATGTTGCTCTCGAAATTAAATGAGGTGATACAGCTAATGAATGTACCAGGTGCACGCGGTAGGTACTCGATAAATGTTTAGTGCTTCCAGAGTGTTGGACCAGTGTTGAAAAGTTGTTTTCCTGGTAGAGGAGATGGGGCATGCTGAGTTAACAACCCTCCCCACTTTTGTATTTCCCTGGATGACACAGTGGGTTGGAGTGGAAAGTGCAGTACATGGACTTGAAAGATCAAAATTCCACTTGGTATCCAAACCTTGGGCTTAGTCACACCAGCTAAATTCACCAGCCTCAGATCACAAATATGGCTCAGACAGCACCCACTGAGCCTTTAGATTGTTGATAAGAGCTGCGACTGGAACCTGGACTGTGGAGATGGGATAAAGGAGATAGAGTGCAGACATGTTTGGGATGGAATCAACAGGGTTTGATGGACTGTTCGTGTAGAGGCTGGAAGAGAGGAATAATGCCCCCAAGTTCCTACCTTGGATGACTAAACGCACAGTTTATTGATTCAGTGAGTATCTATGAGCCCCTCCTAAGGGCCAGGACTGTTCTGGGCACTGAAGACACTGCAGTAAACCAAACAGAACAAAAAAATCTCTGCTCTTGTGAATTTACCTTCTAGTGGGGAAGACAGACAATAAATAGTAAACAAATAAGACAATTTCTGGTTGTGATAATTATAATGAAGGAAATAGGGTAATGGGATGGAGAATAAGAGCAATGAAGGCCTACCTTAAACATGATGGCCAGGGAAGGACTCTCTCAGGAGGTAATACGTGAGGTGATGGATCCTAAAAGATGAGAAGGAGCCAACAGGTGCACAGAAAAGGGGAAGCGTTCCAGGAAGAAGGAACAGCAGGTGGGAGAGCTTGAGGTGGGAAAAAGTTAGGTGTTTTGAGAAAGGGAGGAGGAAAAAGGCCTACATAGTGAGAGGACTGGCAAGAGAGAAGATTGGCAAAGTGGACAGGACCCATTAGTCAAGAACCAAGCCTTGAGAAGCAGGTTCTTGGAGAAGACAGTTTCACCCTTGACCTACCAAGTTTGAGGTGTCTGAGGGGATCTCCAAACTAAAGATCCAGGACCATATCTGAAGAACTGGAGACAGTAATTGGGATTTGAAAAAGTGTTCAGTTGCATCAAAATTACTGGAGAGTGTTCAAAAAATACAGACTTCTCAGGCATTAAAAATACATATTTTGGGGGCTCCACCCTGGAAACTCTAATTTAAGCAGGTCTTGGTCAAGATCTGGGAAATCAGTTGTTCAGTACTCACAGGTAAATATGATCCAGTCATTCACGAAATATTTCTTGCATTCCTCATATGTGCCAGGACAAATCTAAGTGCTGGAGAGAGAGTTCTGAACAGTTTACAGAGCTTATAATCTAGAGAAAGTTCAGCTAGAGAACAAGTAAACAATTGTAATAGGAGTACCTGCCACCAAAAGAAGCTGGTAAAATAAGAATAATTATGGGCACCTACATTAGATAAATCTAAAGAAAAGACCTCTCTCTGAGGAGGTGACATTTAAGTTGACAGCTGAGAAATAAGGCACAGTCATGACAGTCTGGGGGAACAGCATTCCAGGCAGAGGGAACAGCCAATGCAAAGGCTTGGTTGAGAACTCAGTCAATGAATCTAATTCTTTGGTTTAATTCCACTTGATTAACCAACAAAATGAGGGAAAAGGCAGGTGGAGAAGGTACTATTTGATCTCTATGTGTTTACCCAGCAAGCTATGCTAAGCACATACCTTGTACCAGGCACTGTGCCGGTTGCTCTTACACAGATGAGCAAGATGACCCTCTCTTTTAGTTGTGGTCCAATGAGGGGGCAGATAACCAAATTGGTATGAACCCATCAGATAAGTGAGAGCATCCAGATAAGCAGTTTCTGTTCTGAGAAAGCCAAGATGATTCATACTTTCAAGTATGATAATGTGAGCAACTGTTTTAGAGACTATATGTAATAAAATGGCTTTCATTTTTTTGTGGCCCAACCAGCTCAGGCCTCTAGTTTTGGTGAAATATTTGCAACAATACACTGGGTCTGATATACAGTATAATGACTGTATGTTGGGGAAATAGTATCCTTATAATAACTAACCTGTACTGAGCATTTAGATCCACCTGCCTTGACATAAGATCTTACAGTCTTCACTATGACCTAATGAGGCAAGGACTCTAACAATAATAAGTTTTTCAGAGAAGAATTGGTGCTCAACAAGGTGAAGGGACTTTCCTGAAGTCACTCAACTCAGATGTGACAACTTCCCAGCTGTCTCGGTTCCAAGCCTCAGTTCTGGTCCATACCGCCTTTCATGAGGTGCTTCCATATTAATGCAATTGCTGTCTTCAATCCGGTTCCCAAAGTGGATCAGCCTCTCTTCTCCTCACCCGTTATCCACCTGGATTGGCTACAGAGGCCAGATCAATTTGCTACTCTTCTCAGGGGCCTGGCAGGTGGAAAAGTGGGGAGGAGAAGAACTCGGTTTCCACACTGGGGACAAGGCAGAGGGCAAGCCTGCCTGGACGGTGCCCACTGCCTGTCTATACGCCTCCGGTCTCCAGGGCCGCCTATGCAGTGGTGTGAAGGGTTGGGCGCAAAACTGAGCACCTTGCTTCCTGCCCACCCGCCAGGGAAGAGAATTACTGGCGCTCAGTGTTCAAGGTCTGAGTAGAAGGAATCGGTTGCAGATGAGGGGAAGCAAGTTGTTGGAAGTCAGGAGTAAATTGTAATTCAGCTGCCGCCTGGATTGTGTTGGGTCGCCTCCTGCCACGCCGAATGTATTCAAATTCAGCAGCTTGGAAAGATGAGCTGGTCATCTTCAGCCGTGAGCTGGCCAACATGCAACTTAAAGGGCCTTCACTTTCCCGTCCCCTGAGCCTGCTTTGATTCCGGACTTCTCAGCGCGCCTCTGGGCTCGTCCGTCCGGAGCGCCTTTCCCGTTTCCCAGGCTGCCTGGCTCCCCGTCTTCTCCCTGCCACCTCCCCTCACTCCCTGGATCCCTCCCTCCCTCCCTCCCTCCCTCTGGTGCGGAGGCTCCTGGCCAGGGTCCCTGAGCCCGGGCGGGTGCAGGCGGAGGACGCAGGAAGGGTGAGGTCACGTCTCCCTTGAGCCCCGCGCTGCGGGCTTTTCCGAGCCTCGCCACGAGCGGGCGGCCAGAGTCCCCGACCGCGCTGACGGTGCGCCCCTCCGGCCTCTCCCATGTCTCAGTACGGCCCCAGCTCGGACTTCAAGAGGGCTTTGGACAGCAGTCCCGAGGCCAACACTGAGGATGACAAGACCGAGGAGGACGTGCCCATGCCCAAGAACTACCTGTGGCTCGCCATCGTCTCCTGTTTTTGCCCCGCGTACCCCATCAACATCGTGGCTTTTGTCTTCTCCATCATGGTGAGTGGGTTGGGACCACGAGCAGCCAGGGAGGGGCGGCACGGGCAGCGTTGCGCCCCTCCAGGGGACCCAGCGCACCCTCCAAGGCTCCCTTCCTGACTGCCCCGCGCACCCGGGGGTTTTGTCCTCCGCGCCTCCTCTGCGCTCCTGGTGGCGCTCAGAGCCCAGAAGAAGCCGCCCCCAGAGCCCCTGGTGCGCTCTCTCCCTAACCCGGGCACATTCTTCTGGACTTTGCGGCTTCTGTCCCTGCCTCCTCCTCCATTCCCGGGCACTTGTCCGGTTCTTCTCAACCAGCTTTCCTAGCATCTCCAGGGCGCCCCCCGCGCAGGCGACAGCACCCCCCAGTTCCCCGAGCGCTCAGGCTCTGCGGCCCCTTCTGGCCGCGCCCGTGCGCCCGCTCTGTCCGGCAGCGATGAGTCCTTTCTCTTGTCTGCGCCCAGGGCACCGCCTCGGCCACTCCCTGGGGTCTCCAAGCGATTCCCGACGCCCTCTCCCTGACCTCCGCTCCGGCGCTTTGGCACACCCTCCCCGGGTCCACGGTGGCTCCTCTCTTGTTCCTGCACCAGCCCCTCTCGGTGGCTCTCTCCCGCACCCCCTCGGCCCTTCTTTCCAGCGCGCCCTCTCTCTACACGCCTTTCCCGGGCGCCCCCTGTGCGCCTTCTCCCTGCAAAGGGCGCCCTCGCCGCTCTTTTACCCTTTCTACCCCAGCCCGTCGGAGTTCCTCGCTCATTTGCTGCACACCAGCCTATCCCGCCTCTCCTCGCGTTCCCGGAGGGCCCCCCGGCGCCGCTCTAACGCTCTGCTCTGCTCCCGGGACGCTCCCGGCAAAGCCTGGAGGCCTCCGCGCCAGGTGCGGCTCCACATGCCCTTTGCGCGCTGGCCTCCGACGCCGCTCGCCCCTTGGATAGAGGAAGCTTGTGCTTCCAGTTCGCCCTTCCGGAGCTCGCCCCCGCGGCCCTCTTCAGCTCAGGTGGGAGCTGGCGGGCGAACCCCACCAGGAGGGCTGTGCGCGCTCGTGAAATCCTCGCCTTATTGACTGGAGCAGCTGGCCCGGGGGTGGCGGTGGAGTGAGGTTCAGACCGGCACTGTCCCTGGACAACCCTTGCAGAGAGCTCCCTCCCGTACCAGCCCACCTGGCGACCGAGCCTCCCGGCCACAGACAGGGAGAGCGCAGGGAAGATCGAGAGCCACCACCCCCTGCTTCATTCAAGTCCTCCCACACTGGCTCGGGGTTGGCACCATATTCGCTTCTGGTTACACACAGAGATTTCATTTGCACGGGCAACTTGCCCTTTTGCACGCGCATCTTGTCCTTTCCCAAACTCCGTATGTAGGCTCTCTGCACCAACATTCAAGCGTACAGCCGCCAAGTTCCTACTATCTGGGTTCAAATCCTAGTTCCACCACATACTAGGTGTGTAAGCTCTGGAAATCACTGCATCGCTCTTAACCTCAGTCACTTTGTCTGTAAAATGGGAATAATCGTAGCCATATTTCCTGGGGGGTTTGTATTAATGAGATAACACGCTTTAAGTGCTTAATACAGTGCCCACACGGTGTTATTATTAGATTATTTACTCAAATGTCACTTTCTGAGGCCTTCACTGATCACAGTTTAAAATCAAAATCCCTACAAACTCTAGTCCCCCTTCCCTGCTGTTTCGTGCCCAAAGCACTTCTCTCTGATATATTATTTTACTTACTAATATGCTTACTGTGACCTCTCATTAGAGTATAAGCTGTATAAGGGCAAGGGTGTTTTTCGGTGTTGTTACTATAACTTCAGCACCTTAGAAGTTAGAATCTGGCAGGTGGTAGATGCTCAATAAATATATGAAATGAATGTGTGTATGCATGAGTGGTGTTTATAGATCACGATGTCCGCTTTACTCCTGCTGCGTGTTTTCCACACTGGAGCCCTGGAAAGTCACCTTATCAGGTTCCTTAGGATCACCAAGCCAGTTTCCTCTCTTCCCTCCTTGCCCAAGATATCCAGACTTGGGTTTCTTTTATCCTCCCCGTGAAACTGGGGAGGATACAGCAGCCAGATTCTCAAGGCAGAAGCAGACTGGCTGGCCAGCATTGGCACCCACACTCTTTCCTGGTTTATTAATGAATGAGCAGCCAATTCACCCCTTTCCCAGTGCCAATTAGAAAACTGCTTGCAAAGGCTTTTCCCCCCCATTGATTAGAGATGAGCTAACACTCCAGCTGGTGCTGACAGGTTGGATACTAATGACGCCACACGCGGTGTGTTCCGGGGAATAAGATTTGCACGTGCTTAGAACAGAGGGCTCCTTTTCTCGCCTCCTCATCCCCATTCCTTCCCTCAAGACTTTTTCAATAGTTTTATAGCAAGAGACCATTCTATTGCCAGAACACAGACACCGGAGTGGGAAAGGCAGCTACGGACAAGTTTCATGCCTGCTTTAAAGCCTTGGTTTCTTCATCTAGAAAAGAGAATGTGAAAACTGTTTTATGTTGAGCAAAACTGTTCTAAGGAGGAAACAGAACCAAGTATGTCAAGCCACTGCCTTGTGCTGGGTACATGCAATAATTGTCAGACAGATGGATAGGTTTGGAGCCCGGAAACATCCTATGTCACATATGAAAACAAACAGAACATCATATAAGTGAAACCCAAATGCTACAAAGAGCTTCCTATATACCCTCCTCGTCGCACTCCCTCTGAAGTTCTGGAAATGTTTTCTCAGTGAAACACTATAGATCTGGGCTTGACGAGTTTCCTGATAAAGACTCCAGCATCCAAAGGATAAAGATGAGCAGGAAGAGCGCGCAGGAGGGAGGTGGCCGACCAGCCCCGCCAGGTGTGTGCTTGCCCTAAGTTACCTTGTGACGTGCAAGCCCGGCTATTTTCACATCTCACTTGCCTGTCATTTGTGATAAATTCAGGCACACCATTTCTGGGAGTGATGCCATTCTAGAAGTATTTGGAAATGTTGGGGATCATCTGTGATTTCTCAATGAGTTGGGGCACCAGTGGCATTTGTTGGAAAGGGCTGAGGGTACTAATGTCCTGCACAGCCGGGGACTGACTCCCAGTGAAGAACTGACCTACCCCAACCATCAACAGCACCCCAATCAAGAAACACTGTAAGATAGTGAAAACTGACTTAAACATGGTTGTATGGAAAATGTGGACAAGGCTCAAAATAAGTAGTTCCAGAACTGTAAAAAGAGCCAGCCATCTCAAAACAATCAAGGCCTTTATTTATTAAACCAAGTCTGAGAAACTGTCTATAAAATTACAAAGTTGATTGTGAGGCAGTGCAACACAGATGAGAATCAGTACAACACAGCTGTTGTACTGGAACAATATCAGGTATTTTAGCAGGCCAAGCACTGCCAATGACAAACACAGGCATCTTTGTTCCTCCATGTATTAGAAGTCCATTTGTTGAAAGTGCACTTAACCTGTACTCAGTTCCAGGGACATGCATCCCCCCATACAGGGTCACTGCTAGCCCATATTGCATGTTTGCATGAAATCGAAAATGGCACCTGCTTTCCATGCAGATGCAGCCCTGCACCAGGGCACACAGCTTGCAAAGTGGAGCCCGAGCTGGCTTTCAATCCTCATTCATCATGTACCCATCCACCCCTGGTTGCCTCTGTTTATTCCATCTCAAAGGAACCCCATAATTTCCGGATAGCCATTGACCCTGAAGAAAGAATGTTTATTTTACAACTATTTATTGAGCACCTATCATGTGCCAGGCTCTGTTCCAGGCATTAGGATACTCCTTTACCTCCTTATTTATCAAGTGGTAAATAAGATCATCCAGTAAGGGGGAAAACGGGGCATTACGATTAGCACACATAATGTAGGGGGGTGGGGACATGGGGAAGGCAGTATATACAGAGAAGACAAGTAATGATTCTATAGCATCTTACTATGCTGATGGACAGTGACTGTAATGGGGTATGTGCGGGGGGGACTTGGTGATGGGGAGAGTCTAGTAACCATAATGTTGTTCAAGTAATTGTACATTAATGATATCAAAATAAAAAAAATGAAAGATCATCCAGGTCTCTGCCCTCCTGGATCTGAAAAAAGAAAGGTTCCCAGGCAAGTTGCAGGAGTGTTGCAAATTTAGGTCGAATTTACCATCTGTTGGTTTTGTGGCTGGAATTTGCTCTCTGACTCAAGAGCCCGAAGTTGAGTGCATGCCAAGCCTCCATTCTTGATGATTTTATGATACAATCACTTGCACAGTTGATCAGTGTGTCACACTAAGTGTGCAGACAAAATAGCCAATGACATTGGATTGGGTGATAGATAAACCTTCTTTCATCAGAACTTCTTCACATTTACAGAACCTGTCTAGAGACCAACCATTGAGGTTCGAGCCTTTTCTGCTACTTGCTACCTTTGTGATTTCATGCAAGTGGCTCAGTCTGTCTGAGGCTTGGTTTTCTTCACCTTTATAAAATGGAGGTGATCAGAGTACCTACTCAAGGACTGTCATGGACATTAAATAGTAAAAGTGAAGTATTGTCATTTCATTGCCTAGAACACAGCTAGAACTCAAGAAGTGATTATGACGATGTGATGATGAAACTGGTGATGTATATGTTTATCGTTTCCAGTAGCAGTTTTTCTATTTTTATTGATACTAGCAAATTTGATAAGGATAAAAGCAATGACCAGTAAATACATCACTGGAATAAGTAATTGTTACAACCTAAAGGCAAATAGTAAATGCTAAACTAAACCATATCAAAGAAACAAGGAAGACTTTGGTTCAGCTGGAGTATTGAACACATCTGTTTCTCCACTCCCTTCTGAAACCACTTAAAATGATAGTGAATTTAAAAGACTATAAACACCCAAGGAAAAATTAGGAGAATAGGAAAAGAGATTGGAGAAGTGACAATCCCTTAAAAGATGGAAAATGGCTAGTTGAGCATTGACTAACTTTTGGGAGTAGATAACACTGAAATCTAAGTCCTGCAGAAGAAGGAACCAATGAGAATGA